AAAGAGTCAGACACGACTGAGCGACTTTCACTTCACTTCTTAAGCAAGCAAGTAAACATATTATGGTTTCCTAATATTGGGGAACAGAGTTATAAATAGGAAACGGGGGAAGGCTAAAATGAGCTCCGTAGTACTGGACTGCAATGAGAGTATTAATATGGTTTCAGGGTCTTTTTTTTAATATAATTATTGTAATGGACATAATGTGCTATGTTCATATTTCTAGCTCTGATAATTAAGACGGCTTAGACACAATGACATCTCAATAGCAAAAAGTATATTTAATGCCCAGAACCTGGTTTATAAACACCAAACTTTACTAAAAGAAAATTTTGTTTGAAGAAAGAGCTAATTTCAAAGCTGGAACTGAGAAATACAAGATGAACCTAGAATATCTAGTTGAGCTAAAACATGAAGTTCTTTAAAAAATGATAGGGTCACATCCAAAGGACACAGAAGCAGGATTAAAAAGGTTCCCCCTTGCCAAATCTGGGACAATTTAACATCAAAATAAATAGACATGACAACTAAACGCAACTTGTGATCCTGGAATGAATCCTGGACAAGAAAAACAATTTTTAATATTCTGTTATAAAGAGGACAATTATGGGAATTTGAATAAAGTCTTTAGATAATGTCTTGGTTTTGATGGTTATATAAGAGACTGTTCTATTCTTAGAAAATACACATTGAAGGGGTTGTCATACTGAGTGAAGTCAAGGACAAATATCACATGATATTGCTTATACCTAGAATCTTAAAAGGGTACAAATGAACTTATTTTCAAAACAGAAATAGAGTCACAGATGGAGAAAACAAACTATGGTAACCAAAGGGGAAAGGATAAATTGGGAGATTGGGATGGACACACACACTCTATTCTATATAAAAGAGATAGCTAATAAGAAGACTCTTGAGAGTCCGTGGAACAGCAAGGAGATCGTACAAGTCAATCCTAAAGGAAATCAACCCTGAATATTCATTGGAAGGACTGATGTTGAAGCTGAAGGTCCAAAATTCTGGCCACCTGATGCGAAGAGTCGACTCACTGGAAAAGATGCTGATGCTGGGAAAGACTGAAGGCAGGAGAAGACGACGACAGAGGAGATGGTTGGATGGCATCACTGACTCAATGGACATGAGTTTGAGCAAACTCTGGGGGTTGGTGATGGACAGGGAAGCTTGGCGTGCTGTAGTCCATGGGGTCACAAAGAGTCGGACACGACTGAGCGACTGAACAACTGTAAAGCATAGGGAACTCTACTTGATACTCTATAATGACCTATATGGGAAAAGAACCTAAAAAAGAGTGGATATATGTGCATGTATACCTGACTCACTTTGCCGCAAGCAGAAACTAACACTGTAAATCAACTATACTTCAATGAAAATTATCTTTAAAAGTTACATATAAGAAAAAGAAAATATACATTAAAGTGTTTAGAGGTAAAGGGATATCATATTTGGAACTTATTCTCAGCCATTTCGGGAAAAAAAAGAATACAGAGAGAATTCCATCATGATGAAACGAATATGGCAAAAATGTTAACATCTGGTGATATAGGTGAAAGGTACATGAAAGGTACTTTATTCTTGCAACTTTCCCATGTGAAATTACTTCAAAATAAAAAGTTTAAAAATCAATTAAAAAAAACAAGATCATTTCATTCAGTGATAATTGCTACAAGGAAAATAAGATAGGGTAATATCATGCAGAGCTTGGGGGGTGGGGAGGCCTGCAGAGTGGTGCTTAAACTGGGAAATCAGTGAGATGAACATGCAAGCCAAGTCTTAAATACATTAGAAACCAGCCCATTTGAAGATCTGGGGACTTAGAACTCTAGGGAAGGATATGCCATGTACTATAAGGTAAAAATGCACTTCATGCCTTCAAGATACAGAAAGATGACAATAAACATATTGAAAACTCGTAATAAAAAAAAGGTAATACTAAAAAAATAATAAGTTCCCCTTTGTTTCCTATTAGAAGAAAAAATCAGAGGAGACTAATATCCAGAGGGTATCCTGTTGTTCCAGACATTAGTTTCTCAGCATAAGTAATTTAAAAACATTGACACCAAATAATTCTTTAAAAGTTCATCTTAAAGAAATAATGAGAAAGCCAAGGTTTATGTAAAAAGATACATCATAACATTATTACAACTAATGTTGAAAACAAATGACCATCCCTGTAAAAATGCTGGAAGAAAATTATGGTACACCTATGCAGGAGAATATTATATAGCCATATGACATACGCAACTATAACATAACATTGTTAGGAAAGAAAGACAAAAAATTGCTATCTGTATGTCTCACATAAAGGAGAAGTTATCCATAAAAACACTGAGGGAAGGAAATTCTCAACATTTTGCCTTAGGATGATGGGAGTATTTTTTTTTTTCTATCTGGTAAGTTACATTTTTCTAAATTTTTTACAATGAGCATATGTTACATTGATATTTAAAGAAAAAACAACTTGCAAACCAAAAAAAATCATATCAAAACTACTTAAAATTTTTCCAAACTATGTTTTTTATCCAAATTCATAGCTACAATCCAAACCCATGCATTGCAATTTCAAAGTTCCTCTACCATTTCAGAAACTAATGATCCCAATTTTTTGGACTGAATTTATGAATGGAGGTTCAAGAGTGATGGAGCTTTTGACATGTAGATGTTTAGGTAGGAGGGACTAGGCCATAAAGGAGGAACTTTCTTCAAACTAGAAAAAACATTCAGGTTATTTCGGTCAGTTGGCCTTTTAGAATTCACCCCTGGGTTTTCTGAAAGCTTCCCTGTCCTATTCCAGGTAGGCTGTCTTGATAAGTATTTCTGATATTCAATGAAAAAATAGGTAAGAATTGACAGTCACAATTCTAGGTGCCAGCTGTAAAATTCAATTACTGCTCAATCAATGATGAAACACATTTAGAAGTTTGGTATGAATAAATCATTTCTTGGTTTCTCTGAGACAATATAAATGTGTACATAACTGAAAAAAATTTCCCCAAGAATAGTTAGCGGTGGCTTGGATGCCTGCCTGCTGAAACAGTGTGGTAATATAGACAGAACAGAGATTTGGGAATCAAAACAAATCTAATCTTCACTATTTGCTAACTAAGTGCCTTAATTAAACTTGTCAATACCTCTGAACTGCTGCTTTTTCTTTGAAAATGGGGCTACCACAACTGCTACTGTAAGAGCTAGAGCTAATGTATGTAAGTGTTTGGTGGTGGTGGTTTAGTTGCTAAGTCGTGTCCAACTCTTGCAACCCATGGACTGTAGCCCACCAGGCTCCTCTGTCCATGGAGTTTCCCAGGCAAGAATACTAGAGTGGACTGCCATTTCCTTCTCCAGGGATCTTCCCTACCCAAAGATGGAACCTCTGTCTCCTGCACGGGTGGGCAGTCTTCTTTACCAGTGAGCCACCAGGGAAGCCCTGTCATGTAAATGCTTAGCAACTGCCTATATCAAAGCAAGGAATTAAACAATGGGTGCCAAACCAAACCAAAAGACAAAACTAGCCTGCATTTCCACCATTTGTTCCAGCCCTGATCATATGTTTCTTATTTTAATTCTACACCAAGTTTTTCTCAAGTTTGGCACTCTTGAAACTTGGGGCTGGATAATTCAATGTTCATCAACAACTTTGGGTTCAACCTGTGTGTATGCTCAGTTGCGTCCAATTCTTTGTGACCCCATGGACTGTAGCCTGCCAGGCTCCTCTGTCCATGGAATTCTCTAGGCAAGAATACTGGAGTAGGTTGCATTTTCTTCTCCAGAGGATCGTCCTGACCCTGGGACAGAACCCACCTCTCTTGTGTCTCTTGAATTAGCAGGCAGATTCTTTACCACTAGTGTCACCTGGGAAGCCCTAACCTCCTAGAGGTCAATTCCACCATCTAAGCTGTAAAAATCAAAACTGTCTCCCCACACAGATCTATGTTCTCCAGGGCACAAAACTACTCCTAGTTAAGAACCACTAACCTATACAGACGGTTAAAATATAGAAACAATATTTAATAAGGCAGATCAAAACAAGCAACTTCATTTTCCTAGACTGCTGAAAGTCAGTGATGGGAGAAAAAGAGGGGAATATTTCATATGAAGAACTTGTTTGTTTCATGAAATGTCTCTACTGTCAGAGTTTGTGCTCATTTAAACAGGTAGAACAAGTTAACTTATCTAAGCCTTAGTTTCCTCATATGACTGTTACATGGATTAAATGCATAAGTGAAGTGCACTGTCTGGTATATAGTAAGCACTCAATAAATATTGATTGTTCTTATTACAATCTAGGTACTCCTTCCAATCCTAGGTTTTCAGTTCCCACTTACCAACTTTTGTCCCCAATTCCTCACTCTATACATATTTACATTTGTTTCTACTCCAAACCTTGAAGTGGTCCTAACTCTTCTTGAGGTTAGGAGGTATAAAAAAAGTGTTTGGGCTGACAGGAGGCGATCCTGGCTGTAATTTTGAAAAGAATCTTCCCTAACTATGGCCGACTACCACTGACACAGGATACATGTATGTGAATTAAGAGTCAGGAAGCATACTATTTATGCAGAGAAAAGTGAGTAAAATTAATTAGGGCAAAGAAAGAAAAAGGAGACTGCCTTGATTTCCCTTAGGGCACAACTACTTCTGTAATTCATGTATTAGTTCAGTGTGAAAAAAGATGAGCAGAATTCCTAAACTATTTGAATATACTCCATTTGAGACATTTTCTTTAAATTCAGAACACTTTTTATAATCAAAAGTAGACATTTCTAAAACAATTTGCTGAAGACAAAGAATTTATAAATGACCATCTATTACGGTAAGCTACTTAGATGAATCAAGTAATTTTTGAAAAGTTAACCATCAGGCATGAATCAGAAGTTCTAGAAAAGAAAAATGACCAAAAACCTTCAAAGGAAAAAAGTCATTACTATATGAAAGAAAGACTGATGACTTTCTATGCAGAAATGAATAAAAATTTTATTAGAGCTCACCTGTAGTTTCTGAGTCAAAGAGTCCCTCTGTTCCTGTAGCTCTCTGGCATTATCAATTTCTTGTTTCAATCTTTCTATTTCCTAGAAAAAGTAGTACAATATTTTTAACAATATTTTAACTATATCAAGGAAAGAGAAGGCCTTATTTTCCCCTGAAATTACTGTCCCAGTCCTAAGAAAAAAGGTGTTTAAAAAATTTCCATTGTACTGATTTCAAGGGATAAACTCATCTTAATGGGTATGCAGTCTAGCACAGAATAATTTGAAGCAAGTCAACTTGGTGGCTTTGGTACAGCACTGCTTAGAAACAGCAATCTGAACATTTTAAGTCTGCTTCAAGCTTTGTGGATATAATTCTTTCCTGAGGTATTAAATCTTTTGACTGGAAACTAGAGAAAGCAACAGCTCGTAAAATTCATTTAACTTCTAATGGTTTTCTGTTGATTGTATGAATGCAACTCTCATACAGGAGGAAAGAGGCAGTATCTCAGTCTGACTGCCTCACCATGGTTCATAACAACAGACACAGTGATGGGGAAAATGTGAACAAGGTTAGTATCAATCAGAAAAATTTCATCCTAAAAATACCCCACAACCTTATGGCATAAAATACCCTTAAATCGGATATAGACTCCAAAACTGCACACATATTTTATGAGATTACAGATGCGTGAGAAGTAGCAAATTACCTCCTCCTTCACTTTCAGCGTCTCTTCCAGTTCTTGTATTGTCTGATTTAGTTCTGTCTTATGGGTATGCACTGCATTTGCTTGGCTACTAACACATTCAAGCTCAGTCACCTAAAATCAAATGAGAACATAAACTAAATCATGACAGTTCCACAGGATTTCTTGCTGAAGACATACAATAAGTCTGTCACAGTTGTCTAATGAATTTTGAATCAATATATGAAAATTAACTTTGAGAAATATTAAGACAGGGTAGAATCAGTAGAATTGATTCTTTAAAAATATCAATTTAGGACTAAGGAAAAAGACCAAAGAAGATAGTTAGACTTGGTCATGAAAAAGTTAGGAAAACTTAAATTAAGTGATTAATGACAGTAGAAAACCCCTATAATAAAAGTCTTCTTTAAAAACGTTTTCTGAAAACAAATTCAAAACCAGCCATCTGCCCTCCATCTGTAGCCTTTAAATTAAATGTGGGTTCTGAAAACTGGCCTTGCAGAAGTGAGAAAATATTCAAATACACTTCTAAAATGTAAAGGAATCTGGAAGAAAAGATATGCTTAAAATACAACTTAAATCACTTGATACTAGAATATCTTCACATCAGTAGGGTCTCTTACAGCAGAGAAGAGCTCTCTATGCGGTAGATTTACTGAGGGCCGAGACAGCAGCTTAACTTTTAATGTGCACTTGCTATTTTTTTAAAGAACAGAGAAGGGCACTGTCTCTAAAAGCTGTGCCATCCAAAATTATACTCAAAACAGACAGAAGTCAACATAAAAACACACACCTTATCAAAATTCTCTGCATGTCAGGAGCTCATACATTTTGATTGGTTAGAATACAATAAATTGTAGACTATTAAGGAAACAGCAAATCTCTCTCCCTCACATTTCCCAAATGTTGGATTAACACCACGTTCTGTCACTCTCCTCTCGTATCATTTTCTTGGCTTCTATTCATGCTGTAATAGCTTTGCGCAGACCCTTGTCATACAGGTGTAAACAAAACCAACGGCCTGCCACTGGACCTAATTATATCCTCTGTCTATTTTTATGTCTTCTGAAAACTGCTAACACCCATCTTTCATTGTGTGACTGCCCTGCTACAGGCCTGTCAATGGGCTCATCTTTCTCACAGCATCAAATCTAAACTCTCAGTCCTCCAAAAGCTAGCTGCAAACTATGTAAACATCTCATTGCTCAAGACACCTAACCTAGTATGTATGAACTTTCAACAAACCATGCTAATATCCAACTTGCTGATTTACCTAGAATGTCTTCTCTTACCTTTGAAAACCATTCAGAACTAACCAACCCCCCGATACTCAGCTTAGAATGCCCTTTTCTAGAAAACCATTTCTATCTCCTCAGTGCTCAGGCTCTCCTGTCTTCTGGTCCACAACACTGAGCATCTGTTCAAAAATCTTGGGAATTTTCCCCTATTGTCTAATATGTATGAGTTTTCTTTGTGCATTAGGCAATACATTCCTCGTGAGCAGTTCCAGTCTTGATAGGGTTGGAGTATTTTTTATTGGGTTAACTTTCACCCATATAACAAAATCATGGGCAAAATGTAAACATCAACTGTTAGAAGGCCCTGGTGAATGACCAAATTGGGCAAAAGACCCAAAGAGAGCATCATCCTGAGTGAGATACACATTTACACATCTTTTTGCCTGTAGGCCCTGTGCAGGTTGGCTGCACTGCCTGACTAGAATGCAAGCAAAAAGCTGAGCTCTTATTTTCCCAAAGAAGTCTGAGGAGTTGGGGATGCCTTAGAATAACTGAAGCAAATCAAAATTCAGGGAACTATATGAAAAAAAGGCCTCTTAAAAAGCATACAGACATCCCTCAAATCTTCGGCTGACTTCTGAAGTAAACATGTAAAAGTAGGAATCACAGGGGTCAGGGGGTGTGGGAGAAACACTAGAAGAATGAAGAAGAGTTGAGGTGTGGTAGTGCTCACCACAGAGAAGACACTTTGAGGTCAGTGTCAACACCAAACTAGGTTTCTCAGTAAGCACGTCAAGCTTCCCACTGAAACCCCAGGAGGATTGTGCCTTAGAAATAAAGATTTCCAAGGACTCAAAAAATCCCCTTAAGAACAAAATGGAAACAAGCCAAATACTAAAGTAGAAGTCTACACCTCCAAAACTTCAAAGTACAGCCAGCCCTCTATACTCATGGTGGATGTGGACCATATGGATACAAAGGGATGACTCTATTATGCCACTTTACATAAGGAACTTGAGCATTCATGGATTTTACTACCTGTGAGGTGAGGCAAGGGGTGGTGCACTAGAACCAAACGCAGCAGATACTAAGGGATGACTACACTCTACCAGTAATTTAACTGCTTGCTAAAACAAAAATTAACACTGAATATTCAGAGACAGATAACAGAATCTATGGGCTCTATAACATCATCTCATTTACCATGACCAATATAAAATAAAAAATGACTAGACATACAAAGAAATAGGAAAACACAATCTGTAGTAAAGATAAAAAAAATCTCTCTGCCTATACACATACATATATCCAAAAGCTGAGAGAATTTGTGGCCAGTACACTTGAAATACAAAAAAATCCTAAAGAAGGTTACTCAGGCTGAAGAGAAATGATACCTGATGGAAATTCAGATCTACAGCAAGGAAAGAAGAGCACTGCAAACTATAACTATGTGAGTAAATAAAAATACTTTGTTTCATAAATTCTTTAAAATTCAATTGACTACTTAAAGCAAAAAACTCTCAGGGTCAGGGAACACATAAAAAGGAGAGCTCCTCAATGAATGTTTTTTGGATTATAAGTCAATTATCCTAAGTTATTATTATTTTTTTTAATTGTGGTAAAAAAAAAAAAACAATGAAAAACACAGTAAAAATTTATCCTCTTAACCATTTTTAAACATACAGGTCAGTGGTATTTGAAGACACGGGTTCAATCCCTGGATCGGGAAGATCCCCTGGAGAAAGAAATGGCAACCCACTCCAGTACTACTGCCTGGAAAAATCCCATGGACGGAGGAGCCTGGTAGGCTACAGTCCATGGGGTCGCAAAGAGTCAGATACGACTGAGCGACTTCACTTTCAGTTCAGTGGCATTAAGTATATCCACGCTGCTGTGAAATAGATCTCCAGAGCTTTTCATCTTGCAAGATGGGATACTATCCTTATTAAACAACAACTTCCCTCTTCCCCTCACGAATTAAGTTTAAACTTAGGATAGAAAGGTATTTACTCAGGTTCTTACTCTCCCTCCTGTCTCTATTTAACTTGAACCTTACCTCCCCTGTCATCCTGTCTTACTGTACTCCTCAAATTCTGCTCTGATACTAAGCTCATTTCCTAATGTCTATGGAGTTCACTTCTTTAAAGTCATTTTTAAAAACAGAAACTACTGGCATTGGCTTCCTGTTGGGTGAATGCATATACTTTGGATTAAAAAATTCTTTATAAGAAATTGTTTGGTCTCCTGATATTAATTTTTCTTTTACTACCCCATATTTGTATTATTGCTCCATATTTCTAATTATAGTTATTATCTTTAACTTTTATAAAGACTTTTATACTTGTATTTTTCAAATTGTTCTTTAAGAAATAAAGTAAAATAATAAAAGCATTATCATTGCTTCGGTGTAATTACATGTCAGTTCAGTATCTCAATTTTCCCAGGAACTGTACAGAGTCTATATTATTGTTCCTATTTTACAGATAAGAATACTGAGCAGAAAGAGGCGAATAAGTTACCAAAGGTCACACAGCTAACAAGTGGCAAACAGGAATGTGAAATTGGCTGTTTGGACCCTAAAGCTCTCCAAATTCTCAGGAAACTGCAGAAAATTGTTTTCTTAACCAATAAACCCACATATAATACAACCCATATATATGTTTTGATAACCAACAAAAATCTCCAGAAGAGGTCCCTGTGCTGAATCTGCACTAAATTTAGAAAATCTGTTGGCTGTAAATCCTTACGGATAGCGGCCCTGCACCTACCCGCTTGTGCAGCCGTTCTGCTTCCTCCTGATAGGCAGCAAGTTGCTGTTTCCATTGTTTCACGTTGGCAGTGGACTCCAAGAGCGCTGCAGTGAGTTTGGCATTGTTTCCTTTGAGGGTAGCCAGCTCAGCCTCCCAGTGTTTGCTGATTGCTGAACTAAAGTAAAAGAAAAGAAAATTCTACCCATTACACTGACTGTTGTTACTTTAAAGAGACAGCAGTACTCAGTTCTAAGATTTGGCTTATAATTCTTATAATTCAAAAATGTTTCAAAGAATACCTCCAAAGAATAAAAACACAGATATTTCACTTAAATGCGCCTAGTGAATAAAACCTATCAAATAAATAAATAAATATAAGTATTTCTTTTGAAATTGTTGATTTATTTTATCTTACTCAGAGTTTTTTAATGCCCCCAATATAAAAATCTGCTGCAATAAATTGAACTTGGTACTAATAACTCTGATAGAATTTCAGTGTCACTTATACAACAAAACTAGACCAATCACTTTTTCCTCATTTTATGTTCTACTTGTTAAGCTACCCAGAGTTAAGTATCTCAACAAAGACAATTTTCTATTACAAAGACAATTCTGTTAAGTGAGAAGGCCCCTCTCAATAACTCCTTTCTTAACTTTCCAATGAAGAAAGAATTACCTAATTTCAAAGAAAAAAGGGTGGTTTCTCTTTCTCCTTATTGAACAGCTTACTGCTATTAGTGAAATTCTACTAACCTCATCCCACTAACTAGTAATGATAATAGCTTTCTTTAATCAGAATTTTAGTTTTTGAGAAGTTATTTGCATCACAGAGCAAATGTTTCGGTGGACTGATATTTTATAGTAATCTTAATATATATAGTATAAAAGAAAGCATTGTTTCAATCATCAATATTTCTAAATCTCATCACCAGTAAGAATACGTATCAGTGTAACAAGATCATTTCTGTGGCATTCTTTCAAAAAATGCATAACCATCATTCCAGTTTTGAAAAAACATATAAACCCAAACTGAGGAACACTCTACATAAAAACTGATTGGCACACTTAGAAAGTGTCAGGAAAAGCTAAGTCTGAGAAACAGAATGGAGGAGACTCAGAAGAAATAATACAATGTGGGATCCAGATGGGTTCCTAGAACATAAAAGGGACACTGGTGAAAATTAAGATCTATAGTTTTGTTAGTAATATTGTATCAATGTTAATTTCTTGGTTTTGAAAGTTATATTATGGTTATGTGAAATGCTAACATGAAGGTAAGCTGAGTGAGGGTATATGGAAGTTCTTTGTACAGTTTTTGCCATTTTTCTGTAATTCTAAAATTAGTTTATTCATCTTTTAAAAATTTATTTATTTTTAATTGAAGGATAATTGCTTTACAGAATTTTATTGTTTTCTGTCAAACCTCAGCATGAATCAGTGATAGGTATACATACATCCCCTCCCTTTTGAACCCCCTCCCAACTAAAATTAGTTTTAAATGAAAACTTAACATTTTTTCTGAAGTTTACAGAAAAAATTTCATCAAACATGAAAGGACAAAATCAAACAAGTTATTGATTTAACAGGGCTCCCCTGGTGGCTCAGACAGTAAAGAATCAGCCTGCAATAAAGAAGACCTTGGTTCAACCCTGGGTTGGGAAGATCCCCTGGAGAAGGAAATGGCAACCTGCTCCAGTATTCCTGCCTGGAGAAGTCCATGGGCAGAGGATCCTGGCAGGCTACAGTCCATGGGGTCACAAAGAGTCAGACACGACTGAGTGACTAACACATATTAATTTAACAACCCATTTCTATCTTTAAAGAGAAGGCACTTCCCATTTCTTCTTTTGTGGAATGATTTTTCAGATTCAGATTTTCTGATAAAGTATGCACTGATTCATCTGCCCTAACTGAATACGGATTTTTAAATCATCTACCAATTTTTCCACTACAGACATCAGTTTTATTTAAATAGACTCTACAATCTGACAACAAAAGTCTTACTAAACTAATTTAAACACTTGATACACACAAATACGAAACATCTTAAAAATTAAAGAGCAGAGAAATGATTTTGAATATTTCTAAAACGCATATGTTGAAAATTTCTCAGTTGTAACATAAGATTATCTTGTCTTTATAAAAGGAAAAAGAACAAAAATGGGAGTGTTTTACATTTTATTTCTCTAGGTTTTATTTTACAATCTGTAGGTAGAAAAACTCATTAAGAATGTGAAAACAGCCTACTTTGCAATTATTTCAATCATTATTTGTGTGACATCAGATTAGTCTCTCAACTGTTTTGATCTTCAGTTCTTCGTATGTCAAATGAAGACATTAGTTAAGATCTGTACTGTCCAAATGTTAGTCACTAGGTGCATGTGGCCATTTAAAGTGGCCACATTAAAATTTAAAGTGCTCAAAACCAAAGAGAGTAAAAAATTCAGCTTCTCAATACCTTTGGGTACATTTCGTATACTCAATAGCCACAGGTGACTAGTGGTCACCATATAGGAAAGCAAAAATAAAAAATTGTTTATCATCACAGAAAGTCCTACATTTCCCACTGTCTTTTTTTTTTTTTTCCAATTTTTTGCATTATGGGCTGAACTGTGTCCACTCATGAATGAATATGTTGAAGTACTAACTCCCAGTATCTCAAAATATGAGTATACTTGGAGACAGGGTCTGAAAAGAGGTAGTTAAATTAAATGGGGTAATTAGGGTGATCCTTAACCCAATATGACTGGTGTCCTTATAAAAAGAGATTAGAACACAAACATGCAGAGAGGAACACACTGGAAGAAGCCACCTGCAAGTCAAGGACAGGTCTCCAGAAATGACCCCGTCAAACAACTTGTTCTCAGGCTTCCCGCTTACAGAAAATAAATGTCTACTGTTCAAGCTGCCCTAGTCTGTGCTATTTGTTAGGGCAGCCCCAGCAAACAAACTAACACTATGTATAGCTTAAACACACTATGTATCTAAAATATTGTGATTCATAATAAACATATATTTCAGTTTTGTCTATGGTTCTGAGCTCAATAGCTCCCCCAAACCCTTTGAATTTCCTAAGCAATAAGAGCAATGGGAGTATCTTTTTAATAATATGTGGTCTTCTGTCCTTTGTTTCTGAAACTGATCCAGAGCCATAACGGTGAAATGAGTCTTGTTATTCATAAATAAGCCCTGTTCAGCCACAGCTGAATTTATGTTAATGAGGTGATTTGGGGGGATGCCCTAAGATGAGGGGACTGAATGCTAAGGGAAACAACCACATGAAAAGAGTTGGAACTTTCAGTCTCAATCCTAGATTACAAGGTAGGGAAGAGGGACCAGCGACACCAATGGCCAGTGATTTAATCAATTATGTCTGTAATGGAGCAATCCTAAAAACCCAAAAGGACGAGGTTTGGAGAGCTTCCAGGTTAGTGAACCAGAATACATCCATGTGCCACTATGCTGGGCCCCGAACTCCACAGTGACAGAAGTTCCAGGGATCCTCGGGTGCAGGGAGAGGCTATCACTGTGGAAAAGCCACAAAGCGTGGTCAGGACCCTTTTCCTCTATGGAAATAAAGCCTTAAGCCATGGGAGAAGGGGAGAAAATCCTGTTACTGTCACCCTCCCAGTCACAGATGAAGAAAAGTAGGAGAATAAAACCCTAAAACAGCATGTAAAAAGGACAAAAAATAGTCTGAGACCATTAGAGTTCTCCAACCTTGGGGGAAGGGGCAGGAAACTCCTGCTTAAGACTCTCAAGTTTACAAGGCCGAATTCATCTGCTACTTGTAGGGACAGGATCACTGAGAAAGCCCTACCCTGACACTCTGGGATTCAGTGCCTGCCCAAGACTGAGTGGATAAGGAATATTGAGAATCTTAACCTATCCTCTACCACCACGCTGATAGTAGCCTTCTGCTGGGGGGAGGTCAAGAGACAGACTCCCTCTGAGGAAAAGGTACACAGAAAAGACCAAAAGCTGAGGGAGGAGCAGAAACAGTAAGAAAACCCTCTAGCAGTCAAATCTCAACTCTATGCACAAGGAAATGCTAGACATGTTTAAAGCCTGTGATGCACTGTGGTAACCATAGCAACAACAAATTCCAAATCCAGGTCAGCCCCTGAGTAAACCAGCTTGACCTTCATACAAACAGGCTAGCAGAAGAATCAGGCCCACTTCCAGGAGGAAACACTATTTATCTCCATTGAATGCCTTGCTTCTGGCAATCAATAAAAAAAATAATTATAAGACATACCAAAAAAGCAAGGGGAAAAAACCTATTGCCAAGAGAGAAAGCAATCAACAGAGTCATACCCATAGACAACGCCAATATAGAATTTGTCAAAACAAGGAATATTGTTGGCGGGAATGTAAACTGATACAGTCACTATGGAGAACAGTGTGGAGATTTCTTAAAAAACTAGGAATAAAATTACCATAAGACCCATCAATCCCACTACTGGACATATATCCTGGGAAAATCACATTCTAAAAGACACATGTCCCCCAGTGTTCACTGCAGCGCTATTTACAATAGCTAGGGGAAGCAACCTAAATGTCCATTGACAGATGAATGAATGAAGAAATTGTGGTACATTTATACACAGTGGAATATTACTCAGCCATAAAAGGGAACAAATTTGATTCACTTCTAGTGAGGTGGATGAACCTAGAGCCTGTTATACACAGCGAAGTACGTGTCAGTAAGAGAAGAGTAAATATCATATGTTAACGCATATACATGGAACTTAGGAAAATGGTGCTGGTGAACCCATCTGAAGGGCAGCAACAGAGATGCAGACATAGAGAACAGACGTGTGGATACAGTGGGGAAAGGGAGGGTGGGATGAACTGATAGTAGCACTGAAACATACACATTACCATAAGTAAACAGACAGCCAGCGAGAACATGCTGAATGATGCAGCGAGCTCAGTCTGGAGCTCTGTGACAGCCCAGAGCGGTGGGATGGGGTGAGAGATGGAAGGGGGGTTCAAGAAGGAGTGAACACATGTTTGCCTGTGGCTGCTTCATGTTGCTATATGCCAAAAACCAAGAGAACACTGAAAAGCAATTATCCTCCAGTTAAAAGTAAACTTTCAAAAACAAAGGATACGAAATAGCTACGTTAAAGGTTTTAATGGAAAAGGAGGATACCCTATATTGTCAGATGC